AAAATTTTTAAATTTAGTTATTTTCAAAAAATAATTAATAAAATTTAAATTAAATTATTAATTATGATAATTTAATAGTTAATTAACTATAATTTTATTTTTTTTAATTTTTTTAGCTATCAATCACAAAATATATAGATAAGTTTCATAAAATATATATTACATTATTTTTAATATTTTTTTATGTTAATCAGTATTACATATTTAAGATTAACACAAATACAATTAAATAGATATTTTTTTATTAATCTGTTTTTTTCATAATGGAACAGCTTCTCAGGATACACAAAAAAAACTAAATGCCATACTACATCAGAATAAAGAGCAGAAATTCTTATTACCCTCAAGAAAAATTATAATACCAGGAAAATAACACAAAGATAAAATATTAATACTTTCACTGTCATCCATATTAAGCAAAAATAACAGGAAAAATGCACCCTTATTGATATCAGCAAACCTGATCATCCACATATAATAAATAAAAAACTAGAATGAAAAATTGTTAATTTCATCCTCTCCTATAGATGCTTGATGACTTTTAAAGTTCAAAATCACTTTCACAAAACTGAAAATATAAATATTTCTACACTCACTATTCATCATATACTTAGTAATTATAAATTAGTATCAAGAATAAAATGCAAAAAGCCATATCTGAAAAAAAACATCAAAAATATCAACTTGATTTTGCAGAAAAGTATAAAAATTAAACCAAAGAAGACTAAACAAGAGTAATCTGATCAGATAAGTCAAAGTTTAATGTTTTTGGGTCAGATGGGTACAAGTATTATTGGAAAAGAAAGGAGAAACCATTAAAAAACTCACATATTAAACCTACTATTAAATTTGGTGGTGGGGGGATAATGATATGAAATTGCTTCACTGCTTATGGGATTGGCAATCTTTGTAAGATTGATGGCAGGATGGATGGTGCGTTATATAAGAAAATTCTTTCAGAAGATCTTTTAGAAACTATTAATGATTTTAGTTATGTACTAAATGATGTCATTTTTCAACCCCAAACATACTGCCATTGAAACCTATCAATGGTTCGTTGATAACGAAGTTGACATTCTCGATTGGCCGCCGCAATCTCCGGATCTCAATCCCATTGAACACCTATGGAATATCATCGATCGTTGTTTACGCCATCTTCCGGAGTCGATTTCAGGGAGAGGGAATTTGTGGGAGAAAATTCGGGACGTGTGAAATGATATTGATGTTGAGACATGTGTCTGTCTCGTTAAATCTATGCCAAAAAGAATTGCCGATGTAATAAAGGCCCACGGTGGCTATACAAGGTGGTAATCTAAATTGAAAATAAATAATTTTTAAAAAAAAATGTTAGAATTTTGGCGGTTATTTACCGATTTTTTTTTATTTTGTTCAAAAAGAACAAATATAATGCAACACCAAAAATTGAATATATTTGGTGGTTACAAAAAATTTAACTAAATAAAATTATTTGAATTGGTAACATTTTAAACTATAGGATTGTATCATTTAATCATACTAATAATGATTGTGATACTTTTAATTGTAGGGTGATATATTTATTTGAAAATTTTCATTTGAATGTTGCATTATTTTTGATCGCCACTGTATTTCAGTTTGATCGTTTTCCGAACGAATAGTCTTTGTACCACATGATAAATTTCCATCTCGATCGTTCCCCGAGGGAACGGTTTTCATATCACATAAATTTTCATCTTGATCGTTTTTTGAGAGAATGGTTTCTGTACTACCGTATGATAGGTCTTGAATAGCTGAGGATGATTTGCAACGAGTCTTTGACTCTTCTTGAAGCTTTTTTTCTCGATTTCTTTCTCTTATTTCATTACTTACCTTTTCTTTATGCACCT